TAGTAGTACGAGTAGTAGTAGTGGTAGTGGTAGTAGTAGCAGCAGTAGTAGTAATAGTAGTAGTAGTAGTTGTTGTTGTTGTTGAAGTTGTAGTAATCGTAGGTTTTAGTAATCTTAACCATTTCATTTCGTTAGTTAGCCCTAAATTCCTTGCTGAGTTCCCCTTGAAGCCTCAAACCGGCGGCTGCAAACTCTGGGCCAGTGAGGTCTAGGTCCTAAGGGTGCCTTTAAAGGGTTTTAGTTGGGTGTTCCGGGGCTTTGCTTATTTAGTAAGTAAGAGTAATGGTTCTTGTGGTTTGGGCAGAATTAGAAGCAGTTTCAGATGTCAGGCAAGCAATCATACACTGCCCAGGCTACAAGGTTTCGAGCCAGAAATAATCTTCTGAAACTAGTGATGGCTACGTATCTTACGGTCGGCCTTCGTTTGCTTCGGCTTGGGAAGCTGAAATGTTTGCTGTTTCAGTAGATATACAATTACTCATCTAATAATAGCGAATTACTGAGTCTACATAATCTCTCAAAACCCTAAAACTTAGACTCACAGGAAGTTCTGATTTCGGGTGAGCAACTTTGGCCTTGGGACTTTGCTGCTCCCTTTAACACTGAATGTAGTTAGGTAGCTAGCAGGCCAGATATGCAGTATTTTGCATGGCCTTGGTATTGAAGCTAGAAACCCGATTCTGATTATCCGAAACATTAGATCGGAAACCTGAGCCACGCCGTCTCCAAACACAGCCAGAAGAGGCCAAGTTCACACCATGGCAGTCGTGGTTCTGCCAGAAGCCGATGTCCGTGAGCAGTCATTGTTTCCTTCAGTATCAGAAGTTTAGAAGAAGGTGAGTGAAATACACGTTCAGCTGAAGTCGTGGACTGCACACCGCAGAGACGGGCATTGTGTAGTGGGAGAGTCTCTCTGCTATTTATCTATTTCTGTTTCTTTCTGAGTTAGCCTTTTACCTCTGTGCCTCTAAAGATCTTCTCCTTGACTGTTGTGTGATTAGTTTCTGTTTGTCTCTTTCCCTTGGTGTAATTTGTCGCACACACACACACACACACGCACACACACACCGTCTCTCGCCCTCTCTCTCTCTCTCTCTCTTGCTCCCTCTCTCTCTTTCCCACTCTCAGTTTGTGTACATGTGTCTATGTAGTGTGTGTCCGAACTTGGCAGCGGCTGTGTTCCTGCTAATTCTTGCAGGCTTTGTTGCTGAATGGATGCCGTGGTCTGCAGCCAATAAAAGACTCATGAAGAGCAAGGAAATCGCCGCCTCAACACATTCTTAATTATGGCAACGAACACTGGGGTTGTAATTTACATAAAAGAAAGAGAGGGCAACAGGATACCGTTACCCTAGTGCACTACCCGAAAGCTACCCTTTGTCGGACATAGGTCTAGATGTCCTGCTCGCATAGATAGCTTTTTCCTGCTGGTGTCAGCGAGACACAGCACTGAGAGATTCTTGGTTGCATTTACAGGGTTTCCAGGGCTTCCAGGGCCCCGGTTGCGGTTTGCTCTCCCCTACTGAAACCCTGGGCCTCTCGGGCGGCTCCGTACTGGTAATACAATTTAAAAGGCAAAGCGGGTTCCTTGACATTTTCGGCCTATTCCAACGTGCTCGCTCGGCCACTACGTGCTCGGTCGGCCACAACGTGCTCTCTGGTTTCGTACGTGCTCCCTCAACACGACGTGCTCCCTGGATCCGATCCGGCTCGGTGCCGCGGGGCCGGTGCCCGGCCAAACCCAACGAGCGAGCACCGATTCCCTTCAGACGGCCGAATCGGCCAATAGAGCCACATTCCCTAGGAACCGTGCGTGCTCGCTACCCCAGACCCTCGTCTTAGGGATCCCGTGCTCCCTCGACTGAATCCAACCGAAGCCACACCGACGAGCGAGCAACCCGCCCCCAACAGACATCCAGCGAGCACTCAGGATCTCTCGGATGGCGGAGATCCGCTGGTTCACAGCCAGACTAGAGGAGATCACGCAGACACTCGGCAACGTAGTGTGAGAGCTCGGCCACTGTCGGTCTATTTTAGCCCAACGTGCTCCCTCAAAGTGAACGTGCTTCCTCGTTCATGCAACACATACTACATAGAATATACATAATACACACACCCTGCCCCTGCAGCCAAGGCATCGCTTCGGATCCGACGAACACGATGCTGCAGCTTCGGCTTTCGCAAACAAGTTTCAGTTCCTGGATGCCCTCGTGGCACAGGGCAAACCCGTCGGTGCTTTCAAGGTCACAAAACCCGAATGGGCGGTGGGGTATGATTATTATGGGTCTTCTCAGGTTTCAAGTTTAAGTAACTATCCGCACCCACCCTGACTAATAACTACACATTATATAGCTCGCATTAGCTAAGTTGAAACCCGCTACTGAAGTAGCAGAGCCCGTGAAACAGGAAGCCATCGACCAGTTCAGAAAGGACTTTGCAGCGGTCAAAGTCTATCGGCGGCCGAAGCTACATGTGATCGATCCCCCTTCGCCGCTTCCAGCTGCCCAGCCGGCCGACGCTGACGCCTCCAGCGAGAACAACAGCCCTGGGCTGGAGTTCACCCGAACCCAGGTGTTGTACGTAAAATCCGAAGGAGCTATCCGGGGTGTACTGCAGGTCCACAAGGCCTGATGGTTGAATTAATTAATTAAGACTATCAACCCTAGTCTAAACCCTACCCTAGACTAAAACCCTAATCCTAAACTTGTATAATGCTAAGCCGGGGTTCGTGTTCATAGCTTTTGCTGCTTGCGACTGGGCCTTGGCTACGCCTACTTGCTGGGAACTGCCGGAATCTTGTGGTTGCTATGACTCATTTAAATCGACAAAACCCACAACATTAACAAACCCTGGGCCCCGCTAAGCTCTCAAACCCTAATAAGCACCTGGCCGGGGTTCAGGTCTGCAGGGTTGCTTTGCTGTTGCTACTTACTAGTTAAGTTCAGGTGCCCGCTTCTGTCGTTTACTAGATACCGAGCAAGTGACAATTCATCTATGAAACCAGCTGAACACCTGACTGCAGGTTCTTGTAAGTAGGTAGTAACACAAGATAATAGTGGTTTTTTTCTGCCAACATCCTAATTTCGATATCTACACCCTTATCGTTACTGGGGTCTATACGTCTGCTGACTGAGGGAGATAGCTTGGGACTATAAACTAAGTAGGGTGTCGCAGTATATTCTGGGATTGCCGAGTCTGCTTTCATTGAGTCAGTCCAGAATTCACTACAATTTTTAATAGAATACGCCCTGCAACTACGCCCCCTAACTACCCCTAAGTCCTAACCGACAAAAACCCTAAAACCACCCCTTGCCCTGCACTTTGAACCGGTGCTCGGATCCATAGCTTAAACCTGTTGCTGCAAAGGGTTCTTCGTTTCCAGGCTTCTGGTTCTGCCAGTAATTAAGAGAAGCAAGACAGTGTTGGATAGCGACGATCATCCCTGGCCCGGATTAAACTGCAATAAACCCACAACTTACTGACTTACCCACAACTGACTTACCCACAACTAAACCCTTAGCCCGCCGCCCTTAGTGTTGGATAGGGACTAGCATCCCGAGCTTGGATTAAACTGCAATAAACCCACACCTTACCCACAACTAAGCCCTCAGCCCCGTTGCCCTTAATGATGAACTGGGTTTCCAGGCCGCAGCCTTTGTTGTTGCTGATCTCTGTTTGGCCCTGAGGTGCCTGAGCCTATTCTTGGCTATCATCTACTCTTTCGTGCAGAGGAAGTGTGGGGATTGTGCAAACGGGAGCAGCTTTTCTCGAATTTCTTCAGCAAATGGCTTCTTTGCTGCACGCGGTGCTGGGTGAGTGCTGCTGCCTGAACAGCTTTATTATCGTAGTGAACATTAACATAGCTGAGGCAGGATGGGCTGGCTTCCGATGTGCTTGATGCCTGGCGAATCAACAGTTCGCACTTTGTGCGGAAAGCTAGTTACAAGGGTGCCGGCTTGAAAGTGGACAGTGATCGCTACCGCATACCCTTCGACGGTCTCACGTGGCCCGCCGCGATGTTTGTGGTGGCTTGCTCGAATTCTAGTAATACAAACAAGTCCTTATTCGTTCTGCAATTGTGCTGCAGATCCACTTGCACATGAACTGAGACCGGCTACGTCTTGCAAGCAAGAGGCTGCAAACCGAAGCTGCAGTCTGCTACCTTGGATGCACTGGATTCATTGCTGCACAACAATGTGTCCGACTTGAAGCTACCCCTCCTGCCGGCGAACCCCAACTGTGCCCCAGCTGCAACGAATAAACTAACTCCACAATCGGTTGGCCTTCAGTCTACATCCGCTTTTCGAGCTACCTAGGCCTGCTACACATTCAGAGAGGCTTCGTCAACCTGACCGATTGGCAAAACCTCCTAGAGTTTACGGGGCTCCAGCCCAAGTCACTTGGATGTGCATTGGGGTTGCCACCGCCTGCTCCCCTCCAACCTGTCCCCAACATGTTGACTCAGATTTGCCGACCAGGTGGCAGCGATGCCAGATTCTCAGCAAGGCAGAGCAATCTGTCGAAACAGGCCGGGCCAGATGTGATCGGTCTTCTCCATCAGTTTTAGCCTCAGATGTCTAGTGGTGAGGTGTTCGCCTCTCTGTGGCAGCTTGGCTTATCTTGAGATGTCCTCACGCGGACAAGTTCGATGCAGCTGGGCTAGATTCTGGTGTCACATTACTACTACTAGGTACAGTCATAAAGTAAACAGACTTGTACCGGAGTCAGAGCATGCTGCATCAAGCTGTTCCCTAGCTGCCCTAGCTCTAAGCCCTCCTGAACCTGAGGACCGGAACACCTTTGGCCGCATACAGAGACGGCTTGTGCACCTGGTCGGCCAAGAGGCTGACCGAGTCATGCTTGCCCGGGCCGACAAGGCTATGCCGGTTTTGTCCACGGATCATGAGTTCCACCCCGCTACGAAGTGTGCTGGCTGCGACATAGAATAAGAATAAGATAGTCGTCAGTCTTGGGTTCTGCTTCCAGTCTAGGCTGCTTTCGTTTTGGGAATTGATTATGTCGCTTCTGTCACTGAGGGATGGCCGCACAATCAAATTGGATGCCAAGCCTCGATCGCAGATGGCAATCGACCGATTCGTGGGTCGCAGCGGCGGTTTTGCCTCGGCTGCTTCAGAAACAACACTAGCCGAAGTGGGCCTAGAGGCCCTGGCCCCGCCGAACTACCAACGGACCTTCGTGGGGAGGGTTGGTTTGTTTAGTCTTGGGTTCTATCTATTCTTATGTTTTATTAATTGTATTATCTTACGTGAACTCATCACGCAGGACGACCTGCGATTTTATTCATCGGTATCTGAAGAAAGCTGAGATCGAGGTGGGTGAGGCCCGATAGTCGGCTTGTGTGGTTTGGGTTGAGCGGTGCCATGAATAATTACACCACGCTAATCGTAAACTATGATTTTAGTTGTAAGTTATTGCTACAGCCAGGCTCTGGCTGCAGTGAAATACAAGAGCTTCGGCCTACTTTGCGACTCTTCTCCCAAGGGGAAAATGGACGATCCTCTGACGCAATAATAAAGATTCAGGATCCAGCCCTGTTTCTTTATGGAACCCTAGATTAACTTCGAATGAATGCTGACTAACCCTAACCCCTGAACCCTGAACCCCTCAGCCATCGAGGTTTGGATGGGAGTCATCGCTGTACCAGGCTATGTGTCGGTGGCTACCCTGCAGCGGCTCTCCGCTCTCCTTCCATCGGGAGCTTCTCCGCAAGAGAAGATGGCTGTGGCTGCAATGCTGTGTGACTCGAGAACAGAAACCCTGGCAGCAGATGTGAAGAGACAAGAAGCCAAGAAGAAGCTGTGCCTAGGCAGTAGACATATTTACGCATGTCTCCACGCAGGCCCTTGTGTGATCCTGTCATTCCTGTCCTGCCACATCACGAATGACCGCCCAGGCCCAAGGCCCTCCATTCCTTGAAAGAAGAAAGGCTCGCAGCCAAGCAAGAAGTGAAAGCCGTGTGCAACGTCATGCAGCACACGGGCCTTGAGCTGGATTCTGTGTGGCCCTTGGAGCCTTTGCGGCCTCTGAACCCAGGGTTCGAGGAAAGGCACGTGTATGTGCTGGGAGAGGAGCAGCTAGCTTTTATCCGAGACATACGGAGCAACGCATGCCGCTGGGACGTTCCTGTGGATGCCACAACAAAGCACTTGAGGTTGGTGCTTTGCCCCGACCAGGGGTCGCCCCTTTTCTCTGGGTATCAATATCTTTGTCACTCTGGGGGTGCGGTTGCCTTGATTCGAGATGAAATGCGACTTGTATGATTCTCTCAGGTCCAAAAGGAGGGTTTTGGCTTTAGGGTTTAGTGGGTCTAGATACTTGGTTATTATTATTTGAAGTTTCAATAGTTTAATTGGTTTTGTGGATAGAGTATTAAATAGTAAGAATGGTTAAGTACGTGACTGTTGTTGTAGCTCTGAACTCTACGAGCCGTGAATATTGGTTTGTTCGAGCTGAGACACAAGCTGCACGCACATTTCGGCCGAGTCACGTCTGCGACAGCCACTGTGAAGCGAGACTTAGCTCGGCAATTCTTCCCGTCTCCATTGAAGTGATCAAGAGTGCAGGTTCCCCGAAAATAATTAATGCTCGCTTTCTCTAGGAATGGTGATGCTGTCTGGGTGGTTGTTCCGTGCCAGACGGACCCCCTGGCACACGGGCAAATTCGGGAACAGCCTCCAGGAGGCTGGACAACGCTACTTGGACTGTGCCACCTGCCGGCACGTACACTCTTAAATGATTGTGCTAGGTGACGCTGAAGCGACATTACCCCTTGTAAATACTGTGCTGAAGATATACAAACTAAGGCATCCCCCGATGATGTATTGATGCAGCTCTTCAGCAGAGACATACTTCACGAGAGGCTCGTCAGTGCAACTAGAGCATGCTCGTGCGATGCAATCCATTCTAGACTCTAGAGCTGCTGCCGGTGATGTTGCCAGTCAGGCTTCCTGGATTCAATGTTTCTGGAATCAGCCAAGGAACTCCTTCCCGGAGACCGAAGATTCCAAGCTGAATTTTCAACGAGTCGTAGAGATCCTGGGCCGTGTGTGCAAGTTTCTCCGGCTGAACGCACTTCTGAAGCTGTTTCAATGCAGGAGTAGGCAGGACTATTGATTAGTGTCTAGACAGTCTACTTGTGCACGCTTTCCAAGGTTCAACTCCGAGACTTTCTCGTGGTCACGATGGTGCAGCTGGGCACACTCTTCCCATAGGTTTCAGATGAGCTGTTCTCTGCTCTTGATCCTATGGAGTGCAATGGAGGCCATACAGCCCAACCCTAACCCCTTAACCCAAAACCCTAGAGCCTAAGTTAGAGATTAAGAAGCCCAAAACCCCAAGCCCAACCATAAACTACACCTGACCACAGCCTCGTGTCAGAGATGCAGGCCGGAGTCAATCCATTCCAGATTCTCGACGGCGGCAGCAACGAGAGCTCCTACGCAAAGACTGTGGACACATGTGTCAAGGCCGATATCTCTA